GCTTAATATGTGATCACAAAAAAAAAAAAGTGGTCACTTTCATTTTTTTCCTCCTGGGGAATTGCAAATTAAAACTGCCATGGATTATCAAGTATAAAATACATTAAGAAGAAAAAATAAGTATTAAAGAGAATGCAGAAAAACTGGAATTCTTACACTTGCTGACAACTTAATAAATTGGCAGTACTTCAGTGCACATAAGTGAAGCATTTCTAACAATGTACAGCAGCACTCTTTGTAATTGCCAGAAAAATGTAATCAAACATCCACCAAGAGTAAAATGGATACACCGTTAGCTGTGTATCCATTCATCCAATGGAACTCACATTTTTCTTTAATTTTCATTTGATGGAAAGTACTTGGCTAAAATAAAAGTAATACTTTATAGTGGCTATAACAGAAATGAGATGTGAGAGGAACTTTCTAGTGAAAACCATTCTGGTGGAATAGTTTTTGGATAGACAGAACAGAAAAATTTGATTCAGGAATAATTGTGCTATTCTTTCTGTGAAACTCTTTTTCGACTACAGCGTCAGTCCCAGGCTACACATTAGCACAGAAAACAAGATAAATATGTATGAAGGAGTCTGGGACGCATATAGGAAGTATCTATTATGTGTTAAGGTAGAAGGCCACATAAGTCCACAGTGAAATAGTGGAGACTGGTATGTTCAAATACAACATTTAAATATACAATGTAATTTAAAAATGGGAAACCCCGAGGTTAAGTAAAGATAAGAGCCTTCACAGAGCTTAGAGGGGTCACCTGGGCCTTGAAGGATTGCCAGGATTTTGTTAGATGCATGTAAAAGTGCAACCAGAGGCCAGAAGCCTAGCAATGAGGAAGAGCACAGAAACTGCGGGACCCGCTGAGGCACAGGCTGTGTGCGCCAGATGCAAGGACGGAATGCGGCGCTAGGAAAGCAGGTGGGCGATTACAGGGCCCTGGGTCTCCTGCAAGGCCCTGTAAGGCAGAAAGCAGTACCGGTCAGAGGCTGAGAGAGCGATTTCGTTCTCATTTGGGCCCCCCTAACAGCTAGCTAGGTCATCTGAGCACCTGTCTGGGCCTTGGTGACCTGATACATAACACGGCAAAAGTAATCTTTTCCTCGTACAGACGCTGGGAAAATTAGACTGAACGTGTGCTGTCCAATCAGCACCAAGTCTGTCTCACATTAAGCACCAACTGTGAATCTACCGTGGTTATAATGATTATCAGGCCAAACCTAGGTTTCTGAGGCGCCTCCTCCCTATTGCGAGACTCGGGAGGCTGGGGTCTGGCGGCGCCCACTCTCCACTCCTCCGTCCTCCTAGTCCTTAGTTTTCTTTAAGAGAAGGGTTGTACAGAGGGCGGGTGGGCCTGGCGCACGGGGACACGCCTTCTTTTACCCGGGCTCGGGTCCCGCTCCTCTTCCTCCGCTGTCCCGCGGTTCTTGAAGCCAGGCGGCAGCGCCGGCCCGATCAGGTCCCTTGCCATCCGCGGTGGCAGACGCTGGTCACGCGTGCAAGTCTAGACAACCGAGTCAGAGCTATCCTAAAAGGCCCGGTCGCGAAGTGCAGCGAATGCCGGAAGTTTTTTCGGCGCTGATCGATGACGCATCCGCCTGTGGTTGGCCGAGCCGTGTGCTTCTCAGTAACGGAAGTGACGTATAAACCCTGTTACACAGGCGCACGTTGTGTATCGTTCCAGGAGAGCGGCATGGCTCAACAGGCTAGTGACTTCGGGACTCCAGCTGGGTGGTTTCCAGCCCCCGATCTGGGGTCCCTACCTAACAGCACTCCGCGGCCCGACAATTGGACACTCTGGGCGATGCTCCCTCCACCGCCACCTCCTTCGTCGTCTCAAGCGGCCGGGCCGGAGCCTTTCACCGTCGTGCAGCCTCCCGTGGAGGTGCAGTCTCTGTCCGGGGCGCCGCCTCCCTTCGACGCCCAGATTCTTCCTGGGGCGCAGCCCCCTGTCGACGTCCAGACCTCCCTTGATGCTCAGCCTCAACTCAGCAGCTATCCCTACAATTTCCAGGCTTCGACATTATGGTATTGGGGACACTCGCCTGGTAGTTACCTTCGATATCAGAATCCCCACAACCCGCCAGGTATGCAGTTCTTCTTCTCGGTACCACCTCTGTACCTTCCCGTTTATCCCCTCTTCCCATTTTCCCTATCCTGTCTCCACTCTGCCCTGCGCCCTTGAAATCTGCTAATGTCTCAAGATACATCCTATTGGATTATGTCCCCTGCCTACTCATTAAATACAGTTGTTATTTATTAAATTCCAGCTGTATGTCAGGGGCTGAGAATGTAATAGTAACACAGAAATCCTTATTTTTAATGTAGCTTATCGTCATCTCCCTAATGTAGGAATAAAGACAGTAAAGTTGTGTATTAGAGGACAATCAATTCTGTGGAGAGATAAAAGATAACTAGGCATTATTACTATTTTTTAAAGGCAGGATCTCGCCTTGAACTCATGGCCGTCTTCCTAGCCGCTTGAATGCAGGAATTACAGGCGTATGCCAGCATGCCCGGTACAGTTGCATTTTTAAATAGCATCGTCTCTCCAGGAAAGAGACGTTTGAGCATAGTTTCAGAGTGCAATATCAGATCATTGTACTTATGTCTGGATGAGTAGCGATGAGGATTGAAGGAAGTGCAAACGCAAAGGCTTTGAGGCGGGATCTGCAGCACACATCAGAAGTGGCCAGAAAAGATGGATTCGTGGTTACATTTGTAGATGACTGGGGAAGAGGGCAGCCTTGCTAGGTTCTTTTAGATGATGAGGCTTTGGCCTTTGTTCCTGTGAGATGGGTTGTGGGGGAGCATGCGATAATCCAGTTTATGTTTTGATGAGATTAAGGGGACAACTGATGGGAGCTGACTGAAAGCGAGGCCAGTTAGAAAGCTATCCCAGTTGTTCTGGTGACGTCTTGGACCAGGTGGAAATCTGGGGGTGATGAAAAGTGTTCAGATTCTAGATATAACTTAAAGGTAGGGTCAAAATGATTTATCCAAAGACAGAATGTGAGATGAGATTAAAGAAGAGTGAAGGGTTAACTTGGAAGTTTTTGCCAAACAACTTTAAGGATGGAGTTTTAACTAGCTGACATAGGAAAGAGATGTAGGTGAGGCAGATTTAGAAGATCAGGAGTTGAGTGTGAAGTATATTCATAACAAGTAGAGATAGTGAAATTTGTTATGAGTCTGTACTTTAGGAAGAAATGTCGCAGATTTTCCACTTAAAACCACTATCCAACTCTGTTTAAGATCCTGTTTGTATTAAATCGAATTCAAACAGTGTTTACTGTGTGCCAGATACCAGGCATGTGAGTTTGACAGACTCAAATGAGATAGGTTTATAAGAATAAATCACAGCACAGTGTTGTGATAAAAACATGTAAAAGGTAATTATGTTGTGCAAAAAAAGTGGGGAAAAACTTGCAAGAAATGTCTTGAAAGGTTTGTAGAATTTTGAGAGCAATACTTTTTAGGCATAGGCAAAGAAATGTCAGTAAAAGTGAGTTTTGGAGATTGCAGTGTTCTGGTGTGATGGAAGCAGAATATGTAAAACCTTTGGGAGAAGGGGTAGGAAGAAAAAATAAACTGGAATGTTATTGGAACATTCTAGGAAGCCATTTGCAGGTTTTTTTGGTTTGTTTTCATTTATTTATTTGGTACAGGGTCTTACTACGCAGCTTGGACTTGTAGTGATCTTCCTGTTTTCAGCCTCCCCAGTGCTGGGATTATAGGCATGAGCTACCAAGCCCAACTCGTTTCCAGCTCAGTGTGCCCAGGGGTGGGGCTGGCATGGCTTTCGAGACTGGGAATCGACTGGTCCCTGCGTTTGCCAAAGCTGGCCCTTAGTCTGCTGAGCTATCTCGCCAGCCCACATGTGCAGTTTTTGAGCCAATATGTGAGGTGATTGAAAAATTAGTTTTGTGGTACGGTTATGCAAAGTTACTAGAAGAAAGGGTTAGGGGAGGGGAAGATAGTCTGGGGGAGGGTGGCACTGTAATCTACAAAAGATTGGAGTTTCTGAGTTGGGTGATGGCAATGAGAATGAAAGGTGTGATGGGATTTAAGAGATATATTTCACAAGGTTCTGTTTTCCTGGTATGAAAGATTAAGGATAGAGATTTTACTATTTAGATTTATAATGTTTGGACTAGCTGAAGGAGTTTCATTTGAATAGGTTGTCCATTGTATTTAGACACCAAAAAATTTGTGGATATGTAATCTCACCAGTGTTTATTTGAAAAATACTTAAAACTAGTAATCTTTGCTAACACTTTAAAAAATTTTTTTTAATTTATTTGATACAGGGTCTTGCTACGCAGCCGTAGTGATCCTCCTGTCTCAGCCTCCCCAGCGCTGGGATTACAGGCATGCACCACCATGTCTGGTTTTGGTGGCCAGCATAGCATGCAGTACCAGGGATTGAACCCAGGTCCTTGAGCTTTGCCAGTCAGGCAGTTGGACCACTGAGCTATCTCCCCAGCCACTAGTATGTTTTTAACTGTTCTTCCCGGAAGAAGTAGTTTACTGGTATATTTATGCAAATGTTGGTGGTATGCTGTGATAAATAATTAAACAATTATGTATTTGTAAAAATTTGTTTCTTTTTGTTCATCAGGTAAATATTCTTATTTTCCACAAAAATATGATCCAAACTTCGCTAACTTCAACTTCTCTCCCAGCAAAAAGCAGAAAAAGAAGGTATTTCTGAGATATTCTTGAATATGACCCTCTGGTTCCTGTGTTACTGTGTTTTAACTGTTATTTCTATTATAACTGTTGTAGTGTCTTACATCTGTTTCTGACACAGTGGAGCTTTGCTCTAATAGGATTTTCAAGGATCTTAGCTATAAATAAAAATTTTAAAATCACTTTGAGAAGTAAACAATTGTAGAAGAAAACAGAATAAACAGCATCAAGAGTAAAAATAATTGAAAAAGTGATTACAAATAAATGTAAATGTTATTAAACTTAAATAAAATAAATTACTAGCAGATTGGGAGGTGAGTGATAGAAGGGCACCTTAACTATAAGCCACGTATAGTGGTGCATGCCTGTAGTCTTAGCACTCGGGAGTCTGAGGCAGGAGGAACATTGCAAGTTTGAGGCCAGCCTGAACTACATAGTGGGACCCTGTCTCAAAAAGACAAACAAAAACAAAAAAAACTGTAACAAAAGAACCTTTTTTCATAGTCCTTGCTTTTTAACATAGAAGGATATTTTAAGAACAGATTAGTACCAAAGCAGTTTATTGTGCTTATGTTATATTCCAGTAAAACTAAATGTAATGTTTCTAACTTAAAAGTCCTTTTTGCATGTTGAATAGTGTTTCAATTAATGTTTGAAATTCAGACTGAGTGTATTACTGAGTGTATTCATTGTAAATGCTTCAGTTTTTTAACTAGTGAGTAGTCGTTTTTGTGAAATTTTCTTTTAGTGAAGAATTCTTTGTACTTTTGTATTAAAGTAGGTTTCCTTTATTATGTAACTAACAGATACAGTATTTCAAATTTAAGGCATGCAGGCAATTCCAATAGTTTAGAATAAGTTGACCAATGTACATGAAGTTACGAAAATTGGCATGAAAACTGTGTAGTTCATGTTGATGTCGTTTCACAAGTATAATATCCCCAGTATTAAAGAATTAGAGATTATTTCCAATAGTTTCTATAGTACTAAATAATAATGATGTTTTATGAATCACACAGTATGAACCACAAACAACTAATTTTTACCTACATAGTTCTTGTATTCCTTTTCTGTAAATTTAAAACTATATATGAAATATTTTTCCAAAAAGAGAAAATATTCTTATCTTGAATATTTATTTTTAGATCCCTTTGCTATTTTGTACTAAATCCTGATTAGATTATCAACTTGAAATTTATTCATAGTTTACATTCACTATGTTTATTTCTTTATTTATTTGTATTTTAGGAAAGGGTCTACAGGGTGTTCAGGGTCTCACTACTAGATTGTAGCGCTCCGCCTATTTACAGCCTCCCAGGAGCTGGGATTACAGGGGCATGCCAGTTGCTATCTCAGTGCGCCCTGGGGGCGGGGCCGGCAGAGCCTGCCCAGGGATCAAACCCCCAGCCCCTGTGCCTGCTTGCAGGTGCTTTAATCCACTGAGCTATTTGGCCAGCCCTTATATTCACTATATTTAGATTTAAAGGATTTTTATCATGCTTAGCTTTTGTTAGTATTTTTGTTAAAAATTTAAAAAGCAAGCAATCTGTTGAGAGATGTACTTAGAAGCATATGCACATGTGAGGATTAATCTAAAAATAAGTGAAATTTTAGATTTAAAAACTTTATTACAGTAAAGACACATTGCCATTAATCAGCCTAAAAATGATCCTTCTCTCTTTGAATGCACTTACCCCATTATTCTTACTACTTTCTGACGTAGTTCTGGAAATTCTCATATACAAAGATCCTTAGTTGCACTGTCATCGCTGCCTTGATGTCCTGAATCAATCCATTTGCCATCCCTGATTATTTGAATTTAGGAAATGGCCAGAGGTTTCTTAGTGTCCTGTCCAGTGAGTGATGTGCATGAGGACAGTGATGTTTGTCTGAGGCTGCCTTCCTGTTGGATTGCGTGTGCCAGCAATATTTATCATAATTTTGACCCCGTTTGGTAAAGCTATGAAATGAGTCTCTGGAACTTTTTCAAGAAAGTTATAAGGATGATGGGACTTTTTGTGTTTGAAGTGAAGGAGTATTTTGAGAGTGACTAATAGTTGTATTTTTTATTGTAATGTTAAACAGATACTTTAAGCATGGCTTGCATAAAGGTTATGTGAAATCGAAATGTGTTTAACTAGAAGGATAGTTATATTTTTATTATTGACTGTGACTTTTAAACCACAGTCTATTGCCTCTTTTTGTTTGCAGAGAAGAAAGGAACCCATTTTTTACTTTTTTTGTGATACCTGTGATCGTGGTTTTAAAAATCAAGAAAAGTATGATCAACACATGTCTGAACATACAAAAGTAAGTATTCCTAGTTGTCTTGAAATTTGTGTAGCAAAATGGGCTTTAATTTGTGTTCTTGGTAGAAAGCTTTTTTTACAAGTTGGTTTTTATAGAAATGTTTAATGACTTGACAGCTGGGGATAGTGGCCTAGGGATTTGCAGTTTGGAAGTGGGGTGACCACCGCTTTAGGGACAGGTCAGATGGCAGCAAAGAGGAAGACCTAGAAGCTCCTCAACCTGCTGAGAGGCCTGTCTTGTTCACCTTTGAGTTCTCTACCTTAAAGGCCCAGATGGTTTAACCGTATTGATACTTGCTGTGGCATACCATCCTGTAAGATGGTCCAGATTTTAAGTGCTTAAAAAAAATTGGCCAGAATGTTTACAATTGTAAAAGTTCTTGATTTGGAAAAGTTCTCTTTTCATTTAATAAATTCAACATAAAATGAGGTATATAGCGGTGCGCTGTACTTAGTGAATGTCATTCCTTTTTAAATGCAGCTCCAGTTTGTAGTGATTTCTGTTTTGCAATTGACATAAGAATGGAGGCACAGTACTACACAGATGGGATAATTATGTAGTATGAATAGAATGTGTATATGTGAATAGTAGGAGAATTTTAATATGCAAAACATTAAATGGTTTTTAAAAAAACTTCTTACAGTGTCCTGAAGTAGATTGTTCTTTTAGTGCACATGAGAAGATTGTGCAGTTCCACTGGAGAAACGTAAGTTTTTTCATGTTTTTTAAACCGTAGCCTTTTATTGATATATGCTGTACTTAATCTGTGATCATCATATCTTATCATTTAATCATCTAATTATAAGTGACATTTATGGAGTACTTTGTCCTTTTTTGTCCCCCTGTGGTACTGGGGATTGGACCCAAGGCCTTCACATGAGCTACATACTGCACTTCTTACGGTTTTTTATTTTGAGGTGAGGTCTTACTGAGTTACCAAATTAAATTGTCCAAGTTGGATTTGAACTTGGAATCCTCCTGCCGTGGCCTTCTAGGTACCAGATCACAGGCCACTGTTCCTTGCTATACTTTCTACTTTCTAGGAAAACTTTAAAATTTTTGCTCAATTTCAGACTCAAAAACATCTGTGCAAAGTAAATAAATATTGGGGGAGGGGTTGGATTTTCTCAAGGCCTCAGAACTGATTCTTACCTTTTGAGTTTCTTAACTGTAAATTCTATGCTGATTTTATTGTGTCATGCTACATAAAATTGTCTTATCTGTGCATTTCTTTAGCTTCCACTCAATTTTGGTTGGTAAGCTATTCATTTGGGTGTTTAATGTCAATAGAGAAAATATACATGTGCTTTGTAACTATGTTATTCCATTTTCATATATTAATAGTATCAATAAAACTGCATAAAATTGTTCCTTCTCCTTTAAAATAAGTTATAAGGTTGTATAAAAATGGGCTTATTTGCCATAGTTTTTTAATTTGTTTTCGCTTGTAAATTCAATGTTGGAAACAATGTCCTGCTTAGTCAGAGGCATACATCATGCTTCCTGATGTTCAGTAGTCTCTTTGCGCCTAGATGCATGCTCCTGGCATGAAGAAGATCAAGCTGGATACCCCAGAGGAGATCGCGAGGTGGAGGGAAGAAAGAAGGAAGTGAGTAGAAGGTTCCAGACGAGGGGCGTGACTGCCGTCCCAGGGCACATCACAAAGGCAGTTTGGTCTTTTATAGCATTACAGTCATTTAATTAAAAATGACTGATCCTGATTTTGTTCTTCAGAATTAATGCTGTGCAGGCCCCGCCCCCGGGGGCACACTGAGTCAGGAATTGAGACCGGGCGTGGTGGCTCATGCCTGTAATCCCAGCACTTGGGAGGCCCTGAACAGGAGAATCACTACACGTCCCATCTGTATAGTGAGACCCTGAACACCCTGTAGGCCCTTACTAAAATATAACAACAGCAACAACAGAATTAGTATGTCATGATTTTGAGGATTCTGTTACTTGATTGTTTAAAAATAATCATTTTTATTAAAGAAGTTAAATTCATTGAATTCCTTTATAATACTTATACTGAGGAAGGGGTCTGTAAACCACATTTGCTAAAACTGTTGTTGAAGATAGTTTTTTTGGGAACACTGACCAGGAGTGCTACGTTTATATAACAAATATGTAATAACTGGATTATACCCTTCTCTTTTAGGGGCAGTTAATTGCTACTTATTGTTTAGTATCTGAAGCAATAACGGCTGGGCGCTTTTATTTTTAAAACGTACTTGCTGTGTTTAAACACAAAATTATTGAATAAATACTGTATAGTAGGCAGAAGAGGCACATCAAGAAACATACAGGTGGTTATTTTTAACTATAAAAAGACCAAGAATTCATTCTTGTAGTTCACACGTTTAAGAAATTCAAGCCTTACCACATGATCTGTAGTTTAATACTTAATAAGGGAAAAAAGTTTAATGAATGTATAGCTAGAATATACATTCTAAAATGGGAAAATCTCGCTATGGCTCTGTTTCGCCGTCTTCTCAGATAATATGAGCCAGAATAATAAGGGCCAAATAAGGAGGGGGCTGGCGAAATAGCTCAGCTGTCTACAGGGCCTGCTCAGGCAAGCTTAGGCAGGCACAGGGGACCATGGTTTGATCCCCATCACCGCATGCCCTGCCAGCCCCACCCTCAGGGTGGGCTTAGCCAGCCAAATAAAATAAATGAATAAATTGTCTTAAAAAAATAAGTGCAGGAGATGAAAATGACTTATTTTAAAGTTCAAGAAAGAGACTTAAAATTTTTAGCAGGTTACATTTGTACTTTGTTCAACTTAAACATTTTTAGTTCAGCTATACTTACATAGGTATTGATATGCCAGATGTTGTGCTGTTTTGTGAAATAACTAGTTACTGTCTTTAAAGAGATAATTCTGAGGGAAAGCAAAGAAACAAATTCAGGGCCAAGCCTGGCCTGACTATAATTCCAGCATTCAGGAGGCTAAGGCACGAGGCTTGCAAGTTGAAGGCCAGTGTGGGCTACATAGTGAGACCCTGCCTGTCTCAAAAATGAATGAATGAATGACTTGATGGATGGATGGCATTCTGGGGACTGGGCAACTTAGCAACATCCTATCTCAAAATAGGGTGTAGCTTAGTGCAATCCCCAATACAAAAAAAAAAAGATTTAGAATGAATTGAAAACAAACAAAATTCAGTAAAAGTATATAACTAACCAAGTTTGCAGAAAAAATTATATGAAGGTAAAGGGATAATTAGATAAATTTAATTTTCAAACAAGGATAGTTCAGTCAGTCAACATGAATTTAATGGCTGTGACAGCATTTCAAGAACATCTTTGTTTAACAAATGAAGGAATCTAGGCTACTTAAAATAGTCTAGGATCCCTTTCTCTCTGGCAAAGTCTTGCAGCTTCTCTTTGTGTGTGTGTGTGTGTGTGTGTGTGTGTGTGTGTGTGTATACACCAAGAATCAAACTTAGGACCTTGTGCTTGCCAGGCAGGTGCTGTGCTGCTGAGCTACATCCCTGACCTGAAATCTTGCTTATAAGGCATATTATTAAAATTTCCTGACTTATAACTCTCTTATTTTTCATTTCCTGCATTTTACTGCTACCAGAGTGCCAGTTTATAACAACGGGAGCTTATACTAGAAGACAAATCTGTGTACTGTTTCCTTTATTAATAAAGTATTGGTAAGAAAAAATACTCTTGTTGTAAGCATATGGATTATATACTAGTCCCTGTACCAAACTACCTTTTAAAACTTGATTTAGTACCTCTTCTGCAAATATATGTTAGTGCAACCACAGTAGATTTGTCACATATTATGTGTGGCCTACTTTTAGCTGTCTTTGGTTCTGTTGCACTTTGCACAGTGCCTAGAGTTTACATGTGAAAAATATGTGTTTATTTACTGTTAAATGGTATATGATGTGACAGACTCAACTTTGGCAATGATAAGGGTCCAGTAGGCAATTGCAAGGTCAAACCTAGAAGTTGAAGGAGTTGGCTCCAGGAGGTAGTTGGAGTTTGCAAAGGATTCTGATGCCCTGAATATGAAGCTTCTTCCTTCCTGTAGGTGGCTTCTTTATAGATAGGCTTATTTCTCTTCATAAAAGGGGCTTTTTTGTGTGTGTTACTCTTTCAAAGAGATCTTTTGGGGTTTTTGCCTTACTGTTGGAGACAGAAGAATAAGCAAACCAGAAGAGTTAACTTCATTGATAGATTTTGAAGAATTGACAGTAATGGTGTTAAAAATTTTATCCTGCAAACTCGGATGAAAATGGCCTAGCCAGTAAGATACTAGGTGTTGTGTCTCCCTCCCCACCCCTACTTAGCCCTGACTTTGATCATTTGAAGGCCAGTGCAATTGGGGGTGTGAGCCCCTTTTAAAAATGTTTAATTCTCTTGAGGAAAATGACGGCATGCCGAGTTGTGGAAACCAATGGAGGGGAGAACTTCAAGGTAGAGGATATGGTTAGCAGTTCAGATTGCTATGGAAAGGTCCATCAGACAAGAATAAAAAGTGACTGATTTTCTGACATGAAGAATCACCTTGATGGGAATTCCAAATTAGTCCTTGGCCTTCTGCCTTGGCTTCTGCCTTGGCATCCCAACATCTACCTGTATTGCTCTTTAATTCTGACATCCACCTCCAGTAATTTTTTTATTTTTACGTAATACATGTAGATACTAAAGAAAATACCAAAAAATGCTCATATGAAAAAGAACAAAATTTCATAACCAAATAGAGACTAACAGTATTAATACACTGCGTATCATAATTCTTTTTCTATAGGGTCTCTGTCTCAGTTACTCTTTTGCCCTGGGACAAATACCCAACACCCAAAATGAAAGAGGGAAAGGTGTACTTAGCTCTCAGTCAGTGGAGGTTTCAGTCGGTACTAAGCAGGCTCCAAGGCAGAGGGCCTGTGGCAGCGAGCTAGAGTGCAGAGGGAGAGGCAGCTGCTCAGGGGGCTAGCCTGCCTCTCAGCCCTGCTTCCATTATAATGCAGACTGCCTGCCCCAGGGCAGGTGCAGCGCAGGAGTCGGTCACGTCACACACTCCGGAAGCTGCCGCGCGACTGTGTGCTGCTTCGGGAGCAAAGCTATACACAAGCCATAATGGTCTCTGTGCAGTTCAGACTCACAGTGATCCTCCTGTCTCAGCCTCCCCAGCGCTGGGATTACAGCCATGCACAACCATTCCTGGTTTTGGGCCAGCGTGGCACGTGGTATTGGGGATCGAACTCGGGTCATTGTGCTTGCCAGCTTGAGCCATCTCCCCAGCCCCGAGCCTCTATATTAAAATACTTTTGAAACAATTGGATATTGGGTTATTTGGACTTCTTAGTTCCTAATTATCTGCTATGTTGTGCTTATTCATATGTGTGTGTGTATGCGTAATTTCTTTTTTAGTTTCTCATGCAGCCATGCAATATTTTGTTTTCAAGTTGTAACCGTTTGCCTTTTAATACCTCAATTTTATCTTTACTTATGGCAAAGTAGTACCTTGTGTATAAGTACGTACCACATTTACTTTATTCACTCATTCATTTGCCGATGACATAGGTGCTGTTGCCAGTAATTCTAAGCGACAGATACAGCCATTGCCATTTGCCCTTGGCATGGTAGATGCTGTAACAGAAGTCTGTTTAATTTGAATTCATTCCTTACCTTTCTGCCTCAGCATTCCTGTACTCACTTTGATGGCTACCCCCTAGTTTTTAAAGACAGATGTACTCTTTGAGTATCACTTTCCATCCCTCTAGCTCTCAGGTTTTCAGCTGGATCTGGACTAGCTGGTAGTTCCATCTTTTAACTCTTTTCCTCCTCTGCTTCTGCCTTCAGGGCTCTCTCTGCCCCATTCAGCTCCCTGTAGCCACTCTGGTCACTGTCTCAGCTTTGGTGTTGCATTTGTCTCACTCATCTGGCTGAATCTCAACTCTGACTCAGTTGCCATGTCCGAGGAGACTTAAAATTCATGCTACTAGTGAATACCCACAGTGGCCTCTGGCCAAAGGAACTTAGTTGACAAATGAGAAGTTTAGATTTTTTTTCCCTTGTTTTATCTTTAGTTGGAAAATTAGATTGTTTAGTATGTATTTTACATACATATGATACATAGGTGACTGGTTAAAATGTAAATATTTATTAAACTGATTTTATCTTAGCCTATGAAAATGCCATTAAAAACAAAGGCCCTTAGAACTGATGGTCAATTCCATTTTATCTTTTGTGGTTATTTCCACATGATTTATTTATCTATCAGGGCTTTTGGTCCTAGCCAAACTTGTTAATTTAGCCTCATCTGCAGGTTTTTACCTTAGTTTTGCTCATGCCATTGCTTCTAGAAACTCGTTCTTTTTCCGTCTGTGAGTTCTCATTGTTCGTGGCCCAGCAGCAATCCTGCCACTTAGAGGATACTTTTCTTCATTTTGATATAGTACCTCTTCTGCAAATATATGTTAGTGCAACCATAGTAGAGGAATGTCTTACTCATCTCTGATAGAGTTCCCTGTTCCTCTCTAACATAGATGTCACTTATTGTTGAGCTTTTTCACATTTTTTTTCCCTGAATGAATCATAAGCATTAGAAAAATAAGAAAATCTTTTACATGGCCCTTTGTATCCCAC